TTATATGGCAGCAGATAGACAGAATGCATTTTTATAGGACAATAGCCAGTAGATATTTCATGCTTTTTAATGTAAGAAGTAGTTAAGTATTATTATTACACAAACATCACCACCACCCCAAATATGGAAGTATATTGAACAAAGGAAAGAAAAGGGACAATTTTATTACCTCACACTAGGCAGGTACAACTGTAAAGATTGGTACCTTGCACACCTTTTGGATTATAATTCCTATCTCATGTCACAGGTTCTGCCCATTGGAAGATCCGTATTGATAAAAGGCAGTACTGGTAGTGCTCTAGATAAGACTGGACAGCCATTTGTCTGAAATGGCATAGGGTTTCCTGCCTGAGAAGGGGATTGACTAGATGACCTTCAAGGTCCCTTTCTCCTCCTCCTCCTTCTCCTCCTCCTCCACTACCACCACCACCACTGTGGATCATCGCACAGTCAGCCAGATGTTCAGACTGGATTTGGCATTTTGTCTACCTATCAAGTCCTTACCCAGGACCTGGGATAGGCAGATGTGGATGTTTGATGGTATTACAGATATCGTCGCAGGATGGAAGCAGTTCCTAATAAGGCCGCCTTTTGCAATTGACTAATAGGGAATTTGTCAATGCCAATGGTGTTCAAGTGGTGCTCCAGTTGTTTTGGGATTGCACCCAAGGAGCCTATCACTATTGGTACTACCCTTGCTTGCTTTTGCCACAGTCTTTCTATTTCTATTTGTAGGTCTTTGCATTTTGTTATCTTCTCCAGTTCTTTCTCTTCTATTCTGCTGTCTCCAGGCACTGCCACATCCACTATCCAGACTTTTTTGTCTTTCTTATCGACAATTATTAAGTCTGGGGTGTTGTTGTTGTTGTTATTATTATTATTATTATTATGGTGACCAACCGTCCTCCTTTTGGGAGGACAGTCCTCCTTTTGTGAGTTCTGTCCTCCCTCGAAAATGTCCTCCTAAATGTTCTCTTTTTCTATATTTGAAGACTTATCTGCAGGGCTTTTTTTTCCTCATAGAACGCCCAGAAGGCGTTCCGGGACCTTTTTTTGATGGTTTTTTTTTTCAACTTTTGCCTGAGCTGTGCTACTCCCCCTATTGGCTTTCGAAAGCCAATAGGAATTGCTGCTGAGTGCGCCAAAACACCCAGGAGGCAAACTTTGCATATGCAAGTTGCAGGAACTTTGCACCCCTCACTGCTACCCAACTACACCATCTCTTACTTAGTTTCGCAGATAGCTGGAGGAGACTGGAGAGGTAAGCTTCTCTTGATCTTCCCTGTTCGGTTCTACACGGGGATGCACAGGATAGGCGGTGGTGCTGGGGGGTGGCTACAGGGTCGGAGCCAGCGCGGCTGGTGCTTTGCGAGCTGTGGGGCCGGCTCTATGGGGATGCGCAGGGTGGGCAGGGGTGCTGGGGGGCGGCTGGGGGGACAGCTGCAGGGCCGGGGCCGGAGCAGCTGGTGCTTTGCCTTTGCGAGCCGTGGGGCCGGCTCTACGGGGATGCGCAGGGTGGGCAGTGGTGCTGAGGGGTGGCTGAAGGGCCAGAGCTGGCGCGGCTGGTGCTTTGCCTTTGCGAGCCATGGGGCCGGTTCTATGGGGATGCACAGGGTGGGCGGTGGTGCTGGGGGGCGGCTCAGGGCCGGAGCTGGCTCGGCTGGTGCTTTGCGAGCCGCAGGGCCGGCTCTCCATGGCAGGGCAGTGGTACTGGCGGGGCGGCTGTGGGCGGGGGCGCAGCAGGCAGTTGACCTTCCATGGGCCGCGCCAGCTGGTGGTCTACGCAGTGCTGATCTGCGCTGCCACCACCTCACCCTGCACGCGCAGTCCAGCCGTGTAGATTTTTGGACAAGTGAGAAATCTAGATTGAATGTTGATATTCTAGCTGCGGCACTTGCCGTAAAATTCAATATGAAGGATATTTCTTGTTCAGATATTTCCAATATATTGTTAGAAGATGATACATTGACAAAAAATATTCATTCAATGGAAAAGTACTCATTTAAATAATTAATAGGCATGCAAGCATAATTACAATATAAAATGTTATTGTTACAAATGTTTTTTATTATGCATTGATCATATTATAGTGTATTCTGTATTATTGTTGCAATAAATACAATGTTTCTTTTATTCACAATATTTTTTTCTTCAATTTATTCGTGTCCTCCTTTTTGTTGTAAAAAAGTTGGTCACCTTATTATTATTGTTATCTAGGTCAAATAACAAATGTTCAAAGTTATGACAGATACCCCGAAACTACATATATGGTCCTCTTTCAAAATTAAAATGGCTGCATTACCCCTATGGTTATTTGCCCATACGACTGACCATGGAGATGCTGCACCAGCCCAACCTCTCTTCTTCACCCACCTTGACACAACCTCAGTGCTTGGGCCTGCTACCTATGTCCCCTGGAAGCAGCCACCATTTTCAGCTCTTTGACAATTTTTTGAAGAAAATGGAGGCTGCTTTCAGAGCTTTCTACCCAGATCAGCTGCAAACTTCTGCTTCTTGTTGGCTTTGGGAAACCAGACCCTGCATACTAAGGCAGCAGCTTCAGGATGAGTTTCCCAAAAGCTTTCCCTTGCTTTAACCCCCCTTCTTCAATAAAGAAAACAAAGCTGGAAGGAAAAAGACTTCTTGATCTTTTGCTCTCTCCCCTTCCCCCAAATTAGGTGCTAAAACTAAATTCCCCTTCTCTGCTTTCTAACCAATATCCCTTTTAAAAACCTTACCTTTACTCCAGGCTGAAGAGTAAAGGAAGGAAGGAAGCAAGCAAAGAAACTCCCTTCTATAGTTTTTTGACTTGAATAGCTGCAGAAAAGAATTCATCTCAGAAAGTTTTGCTGCCACATACTGTACAGTCAAAAACAGGATAGAAGTTGGTAGCTTGCAAAACTTTTAACTATTTGCCTGACTTCTGTAGGACCCAGCTAGGACTTCATGGGGACAGCATGGGGTATCTTAGAGTTGGAAGAGGCCTTGGAGGCCTGAGGCAAGTGAGGCCTCCTAGGATCTCCCTCACCCCTGAGGCCTCCCAGGATCTCCCTCACTCCTGAGGCACCCTGTGCTTCACTTAATGATTCACACATTCAGTTAAGAGCAGGGATGGCTGGTCATTACTTGAGGCAATTCATTTAATGTTTTTTCCTCACTTTGACCCTAATAGGCAGACTCCATTACAGTTGTAATTCAAGGACTAACAGTAGAGACCACCACTACAGATGGAGATATTATTTTCTTTAGTAATGGAGAGTATCAACTAGTTTAAAGATGAAAAGGACAATCCAAAGATTATCTTTTACTTCACTGTATCTTAACATCAACATCTCTTAGCACAAGATCCTCAAACTAGTGAAAGGAAAGAATGGCTCTTCATTTCATTAATGATTCTTCTGGCAACATAGTGTTTGGTAGAAATTTTTGCAATTGTAAAGCTTAATCTCACTTGTTAAACACTAAAAATATTATTTTGCATATCAATTCTATATTCTATAATAAAAAATGACTTGTTTGGCATTAGGTAGTTCCTACTGCTTCCAAGCCATTTTTTTAAACTATAGTCAGCTGAACTACAGGCTTTCTTTAATGATCTGTTAATTGGTTTGATTACTTTTTCCTCTCTTTTGTGGTTTGTGTGCACTGATGACTCCCACATTGTATTCCTGTGGAAAGTAGCATCTGGATCTGCATGACAGCACTGCTCTCTGGCCTTTGACCTAGCTTTGCTTCTGGCATTAACTGTTTCAGAGGGTAAATAGTAGGTTTTAGCTTGAAGCAGAGTTCTTGCTCCTATTGACGCCATTTTCTTTATGGGTTGCTGGCCCCTTTAAGCCAAAGTAGGGAGGGGAGGGCGATGCTTCTAACCATCACAACAACTGTGATATTAACATGACTCCATAGGTGGCCTGCATGATCTTCTTTCTGTGCTTTTAGGATTTTTTCTGTGTAGGATTTTTTTTTAATGAGCACACTTACGTTTGGGAATAAAATGCAATCAGATAGAAAATAAAGTGACAGCTGCTGTGATCTGCCAAAGCACAAATGTTGAATTTTATGGGATCCCAGGTAATAGTAACACTGATAGTTATTTCTGACTCTAAGATTCATTGTCTTCATTTAAAAAAAGTTTTTTTATGGATAATCAACTTTTGTCATGTGGATTTTAATGTGTGCATGATTAAGTAATTAATTGAATTGCCCAATATTCTGACAGTAGGCTTGGATATACAAACTACATATTCCATTTTGTTTGAAAGGGACATTAACAATTTTGGAAGTGACTTTCAATCATAGTTTTATTAATGTTGAAACTCATTTTTTTTGAGGGATTGTTATATATTGATATGAGTTGTTAAATTGGAACAATTCAATATCATGGTTATTTTTACAGAATAATGAATGAGGATATGCCAAGAAAATAGAAACAATGAATGCTACTATTTTACATAATTATAGAACACAATTATAGTATTACATTTCTTGTAATTTGAACTATTTGTGTTCTACAGAGGTAAACATATAAAACTGTTGTGGAGCAGTAAAAGATGGTATAAACACTGAGTTTTTTCTTAATATCTAAATGAGAAGCACTCTCAGCTCTCTGTTGCTTCCCTCTGCTGGATGAAATGTGAAAAGAGCTTTGTTATTTGCTGATGAATAAATCAGCTAATCCCTTGACACAATATTTTGGGAAAGTTCACTGGAGTCTGTTTGAGGGTTATTAACTAAAACATTTTATCTAAATAAATAGTAAATTAAGAGCTTAGCTGGAAGGAATTATATAAATCTAATGGCACTTCAAAGTATATAATTTATAAAAAAAATAAACAAAAGAAAAAAGTTATTCTCATACCTTGAATTAAACAATAAGAAACTTCTACTGTCCCCTCTGCAGTGTACTTTGCAGATTGCCCAGTTAGGAAACAGCTTTTAAAACAAATATATCTTAAATCTTCTGTTGACATGAATATTATTCAATACTCTCTCTGTCTCAGGTGCTGCATTTCTACTGTGATGCTTGTTCTGTTCCCATTTGTCGGGAATGCACCATGGGACGCCATGTCGGCCATAGCTTTATCTACCTCCAACAAGCTTTGCAAGACTCCAGAACCCTTACTATTCAGCTGTTAGCAGATGCACAACAGGGTCGCCAAGCTATTCAGGTAAATATGTAGCTTAACTAGGGACTGATATTCTTTGAAGTCTCTCAGTCTATTGTGGGACAATCATCATTGATAGGCTAACCATTGTTTCTCAATCTCAGCAATGGGTGGACTTCAACTCTGGCTGGGGAATTCTGGAAATCTAAGTCAATACAGCTTAAGTTGGTCTATTGAGCTAAGCACTGAGCTAAACGCTACTGGATTTGCTATAAAACACTTCTGTATACATTATGCTATGCCATTCTCTCTTGAATGATGTAGAAATGTGTCACATTGTTGTGTGATACCTGGATTCGTGAATATAGGTTTTAAATATACTTCAGAGATGTTATGAAATATATGTAAATACATTATTGTTTTTAAAATCTGCCATTCTATTGTGCCCTTTTTTCCTTAACAGAAGGGAAAAAAACAGAAGAAATCAAATAAAAAAATAGATATAGAAATGTGTGTGTGTGTGCATGGGGGGGACCAGAGAAACAGAATTTAGAGTGAGGACCACCCTGGAACAAGCCATTACAAGGCAGCAACTGGGATTATGTCCATTTACAATCTCTGTGGAAAGATTCCTTCTAACTTGTTAAATTTTGGTAGTTAACTATCTAAAATTTATTTTTCCTTAGGCTGTTGCAAGATTTCCCCCCAATGCATCATTATTTAAAGCTATCCGAAGGTCTACATATACATATAAGTATATGTATTTGCTTTTGAGAGTCTTTGGACATTTGGTCACAGTTAGACTGATCTTTTTGTCTTTCTATAAAATGAGGGAGATATTTCAAATTGCAGTTTTGGTTCTTCATTACACAAATGTTATCAAACTGCTTTGTTGGATTTTTATCATCCTATAATCTAAGATTTCATAGGTTCTCTGGAAACTTTACATAAGCCATTCATTGCTGGGTCAATTAAATTAAATTGGTACTTCTGGCTAAAGGAAAAAAGTATTACTAGCAGTATATTTTGTTGAAAGTGGTTTCTTAAAAAATTTGATCTAATAGCCTCAGTGACTCAATAATTGGTGCATGATAACCATTTCCAAAAATACAACTTGTTTTTAATATTCACAAGATGGCAGATGTTTATCTTTGGACAAGCATTTTCTCCAGCACAGGAGATGGATAATCCACCAATGGGTTAACTCAATCCTCCTGCCCAATCAGATCAAGTCAGCCAAACTTGCCACGCCTGTTCTGGACCAGTTGTCCCAGTCTCGACTTGATCTTGCCCAGAACAGACGTGCATGTTTGGCTCACAGGCAGGTAGATCTTAATCTATTGGTGGATTATCCATTAGTTCCTTAACTTCTAGTCCTCTGAGTAGCGCTGGGACCAGCGCTCCTCCAGAGGACTCCTCTTTCATCTGATTCCCATTGGGATTCAATAGCAAATGGAGGCTTCTGTTTCTTTCCTTTTCTTTCTAGCTCAGTGCTGCTTCAATTCCCCCCCCTCCTTCCCCCAGCTCACCTGGTGGTCGGAGCTTGTGGCTGCAGCTCCGATGGCCTTACGGCAACCGGATTGAGCTCCGTGGAGGCCGCAGGGCCTCGTTTCCCAGCCACTCACACAGGAGGCTCTCAGGGCTCCCAAAACACCGCTGATCAGCTGAGGAGGCTGTTTCCCCTTGCTGCCTTCCTCCCGCACCGCATCCGGATAGGAGAGCAGCTTGCCTTCCGTTCGGAGCCGAGGGATGATAACAGCAGTTGGGACACAGCTGCCATCTTGTGGACCATGTGTCTGTCGCAAAGACCTTTTGCCAGATAAAAGGGAGGGGGGGAAGGGATTCTCCCTCAATCTACTCCTACGATAGTGAGAGGTTCTTTTCAAGTGGCAAATTCTTATTCCTGGCATATTGACCATTGGGTCCCTGGCCTAGGCCAAGTTGGGAGCCTGACCGGCTGCAGCCTCCATCTTAGAAGCTCCTCGTGGCTCCAGCCCAAGGCCCTTCTGGGGTTCTTTATAGCCAAGGCCCTTCCCGGGTTCCTTATAGTCAAGGATTGCCTGGGATCTCTCTGTTGTAGTCTTTGGGGACTTTCTCCTCATATAGTATTTTATGCCTTTTCCCTCTTTCCATTCCTTTTGGCATAGGCCCAATTGATTTCATTGGGCCCTCTGGTGTCTCCAGACCTGGTCATCACTTGGCTAGCTGATTAACACAGTAGTTCCCAGCCTCTGACTCTGTATTTTGTTGCCACCTTTTACATTGCTGGCCTGGCAACATAGCAAGCCTCACTAGCAGGCCGCAGTCTACCCTCTGGAGGAAGTTATAGCGGCTGCAAGTAGGACCGGTCTTTTGGATACCACCGGTCTGGTGACCAGGGGGCTAGGGCAGTTATTACCAGCCATTGCCCTACACCCTTATTAGCCAATTGATCCTTTTCCAGGGGTACCCTCTCGTGCACCTGAAGATTTTATAGCAGCATGAAGGATAACATGGCCTCCCAATCCAAGGATACCTCCCCTCCTTCCTCTGTCCGGAAAAGGCACAGGTCCCCTACCCAAAAGGCTGCTGGTACGATCTCAGCCAAGGCCAAGGCTGTTTCTGGGAGGAAAACCTCCAAATTGGCTGAAAAACAGGCCAGCAGGAGATACCAGGCCTTGGAAAACGAGTTTTCAAAGGCTCAAAAACAGGCCAGGGCCAAGATTGCTCAGACTGAGTCTACTTTCTTTGATTTGCCTCTCGGTCCCTCTTCTTCTGCCCAGGAAGTCTGGTCACCGGTAAAGTCTCCCACTTCCCCTGGTCAGCCCGGACCGGAACCTGGCACACATACATTCCGGTCTCCGATCACCCCATGGACCCAGCACCTGGCCCCAGACGCGACCTTCACACTCATGGCCGCGGGACTCAAGAGTGGATGAGTCGGCCCTTTCTCCCCTAGAAGATCAGCTCCAAGCCCTGGTTGCTCAGGCGGTGAAGAGGACTCTCGCGGCCAGGTCTCCTCCGGTACCCAGGGCGGATTCCTTGCTTTCTCCAGCATGATGACCAAAGAATCCACCAATGGGTTATTTCAGTCCTCCTGCCCAATCAGATTAAGTTGTCAAGTTGTCACGCCCCTCCTTGACTGGAACCTCCCAGTTTCATCTTAGTCTTTCGCCCATGAGGACGTGATAACTCGATTCTCAGGTCTTTTGAATGGCAAGTTAGACTAAATATTTGTAAACCCATTAGTGGATTCTTGTTTGGAGAATTAGAGAATTATAGCTCTGATTATTCCCTCTTCAGGGGTTTCTGGCCCTTATTCCCTTTTAATCAGGGGAGGAAGTAGTATTCCTCTCCACAAAAGGGGGGATGGCTGCTTTTCCCCAAAACTCAGTAGCTAGCTGAGTCTCTTCCCAGTACCCCTTCTAGATACGGGAGGGGAGTGTTTCTTTTTCCCTACGATTCAGCAAGGGCTGAGTTTCTTCCCATTCCCCTTACAGAGGCCAACAGTCCCTCTCGCGGCTGCCATTTTGAGGCCACGTGGCCTTCTGTTTCTGACTGGGCTCGGTCGGAACTCCATTACTTACGGCCGCCATTTTGAGTCTGTTTGGCCTTCAGCTCCTTGCCGAAGTCTCTTCGGCCGGCTGACAGGCGGAATAGAATACACGGAGAGTGCTGTGGGGGACAAGTGAATTATTTTACTTGTCGTTACTCCGGCTGCCATTCGGAGAGAACAGGGCCTCGCTTAAGCGCTGTGAGCTCAGTCACGCCTAACAGCTGATAGGCACGACTCGTTTCATTTCCCCTTCGATCTCTAAGGCCTGGAAGTGTCTAGAATCATTGTGGCTCCTTGCCTGAGATCGAATCCAAGTTTGAATCATAGGATCCTCTCTCCCTCCTTCCTCCCCCTGGATTCAGGGCATCCGCCATTTTGTGAGACAGTAAGTTCCATAGGGAAATGCCCAGAATTGTATCCCAGTCTCGGATGCCATTTTGTGTGCTCCACTCAAACCAATTTCATTTGCATATAGGTTTATATATTATATATAGGTAATATATCTACATATACACACACACACACACACACACACACACATATGTAATTTTAGATTTAGATCTGAATATACGCATATTAACTAATTTGGACTCAATCTAGAATTGAGTCCAATTTAGATTTTCAGGATGTACTATTCCAATTGAAATAACACATCACATCACAACAAGATTTGTGGATTCCTGCTACCTTGCTGACGTGAAGGTCTACAGGTTCTGCTCGCCTAACATAGCCTTAGTATCTGCCACTCTGCATCTAGTGGTTGCTTGCAAGATCCTGACCATTGCCACTATTGTGAGACACGTGTGATTTTGTCACCATTTTGGCCTCAGGACTGGCATACGGATTGCCCTTTGCCTTGGTGATGAGCGCTTCGTGGTGCCCAGCGTGAGCCCGGTTTTAATCCACGTGCAGTCAGTCCCTCCACAGGAGGGCACCTGACGTCTCTTGCAGAGCGAGTCAGTTCCAGAGCCTCATCTGGAACGCATCTCGATCGCCATGGCAGAACTCACTGAGCCACAGCCTTTAGACACAGACAACCAATCCAACCAAGCTGATCTGGTTCCAGAAGCGTCTAAGGGAAAGGCCAAAGCAAAATCTAAATACGGCATAAAGGCTAGTAAGGCAAGCAACAAGCAGGCCGACCGCAGGCACATAGCCCTGGAGAAGCAATTCTCCTGGGCCCAACGCTTGTCAGCTGGACAAGGACATACGCCTCCACTCTCCATACCAGCAGCCCCTGAGGTAGGAGCGCATCTACTGTCTTCATCGAGAACTTGGTCACCGGAGCTGAGCATCAGCAGGTCTTGACTCAGATCTTTGGTCAGGGAGGGCCACCCCTGTTTGGGGAGGATCTCGAGCATTGGGCTCCTGGGCAGAGAGCAACCTGCTTTCCATCAGGGCCGAGCACATCTTGGGAGAGGCAAATCGGCAGGCAGACTTCTCAGCAGGTTGATAGTGGACCATTCGGAGTGGAAGTTGCACCCGGATATCTTCAGGGAGATCTCGTGGAACCTGTTCTTTGCGGTAC